AAGTATAATTATTTTTCATAATATCCCATTCGCTTATTTGCTTCATTACCTTTTTTTTTACTGCATTCTTTTATATAATTTTGGAGATAATAAAAACATTGCTTCTAGTAAAGTAAAATATTTTAGTTATGTTTTTAAAAAATCTCTTCTTCATTACCAGCACAAAGTTGAATGCTGTAATTTTGAAAAGTATTTAGTTTTGTAATCAGATGAAATCTAGACTAGAATTAAATCTAATAATTGTTTATTAAACGTCTTTTTTCTTCTCCTTTTTTAAAAAAAAATTCCATTATCTCTCTGTTGGAAATAAGAACTATTTATAACCAAACCCTTCATACAACTTGTGGACAGTTGTTGGAGTGGGGCTAATTAGCCCCAATTCACAGAGTTAGTGTAAGGCTACTTTGTAAATCCTAATAGTTCAGTACCCATCCCTTCCTCTTTATTCTTCTTCTGACATGGAAGAGACTATAGTGCAGTGGAAAGAGGAATCCATATGTGTAGGTTGTAGGCTTTACTGCTATGACCTTGAGCAGGCTTCTTAACCTCGCTTAGTCTCTCTTTGTCTATAATATTATCTCCTTTAACTAAAAAAAAATCTCTAAAACCCTCCCAGTTCTAACAGTCTTTGATTCTAAAATCTGGTAAGAATAAATATAAAGTCCTACACATCAGTTCAAAACATCAACTGCAGCAAGCATAGAACAGGAGAGGCAAAAATAAACAATGGTTTTTTTTGAAAAGGACTTGGAGGTTTGTTGAACCACACACCCAATATAAGTCAAAGTGTGATTTTGCAGTTTAAAATGCAGATGTGAATTTAGGTAGATATTAAAAGAAGCCTAATATTGAAAATATGGATCAATTAAAGGCTCACTGCATTGTTCTCATCAGACTACATCTGAAATATTGTATTAATTTAATTCTGAATGCCATATTTTGGTAAGGAAATTGATGAATGGGAGCATGTCCACAGGAGGATAACTAAGGTGTCATGAGAGGATTCACTGAAGGAATTAGAAACATTTAGGCTAAAGGAAGGCTTAGAAGGGACATGGGAACCATCTTCACATCTTTGGAAAGTTGGCATCTGGAAAAGACCTTCTCTTGTTTCGCTTGGCCCCAGAGAACAGAACTAGAAATTAGCAAAAATGTTCTGTTAGAGCTGTCTAAAACTGGAATGAGTCATCTCCTCAAATGGGACCCACCAGTGGGAACTACTGATAAGGAGATATTGCAGAGGGGATTTCTGCATCAGATATTGATGGGACTAAAAGACTTCTGATATCTCTTTTCAGCTCAGAGAATCTGTGGCTCTTAAACTATGATTCTTTAATTGTTGAACATTGCTCTATAGATTGGTTAGCCTTAGTTTCTTCATCTACAAAATGGAAGCAATCAGAACTGCATTACCTATCTCCTGGCAGGATTGTTTTAAGGATCAGTAGAATATAGGGTTCTTGAAGGCAGGGATTGTTTTATATGCCTAATACTTGGAACAGAGCCTTGTGCATAGGAGGCACTTAGTAAACACTTGCTGGCAAGTTGAAATAAGATAATAGGGAAAATGTAAATATTATTACTGATATCAATAGTATTACATGCACTTCATTTTTCTAATGGTACAGCTTATACTGCTGATACCTTTTGAGGATAGCCAGCATGACTCAGACTTAGTGATTTTTGTGGAAATTCATTTATTTTCAGCCAATATGTGTTAAGTCCATTGTGTTAGATTTTGGGAACAGGCTGCCCTCTCAGCCAAGTTCAGTTAATATTGGCATTGTCTTTCTTATGTCGCATTAAGGCTATTTCAGCACATGCTACGGAACAGCTCCACCATCATACCCAACAGCACATTATCTTTTTTGGTCATGATATGTGAGGGTCACATCCTGTCTCCTCAAATAAACTCACTATATTCAGTAAAAGCCACATACAATATAAAGGTGTTAGTCCTGTGTGACATACAACTACCTTGGAATTATCTGGTGACTCTCCACCTAAAAGTTGACATATATCATCATAGTATGCTCAGGAAGTATACAGGGGCAGATATTTTTTTTTCCTCTCTATACATTAATAAATTGGGTCGCAGAGAAGTTGTATATGCCTTCCTTCCAACAAAACAAACTTAGTTTTGTTCATCCTGGTTCTCTCTCATGAAACAGTGCTTCTCATTTAGGTCAGGAGCATGGAGCTGTTTTGGTTTCTCCAGATATTAATTCTGAATAACCTTGTCTTAAATGTTAGCGTGCACACATAAACGCACGCACACACACACACACGCACACGCACACACACCTTTTCTGGCCAAGAGCTTACGTGTTCTCTGGACTCAATCCAGTTGGCATGAGTAGTTTATTAGGATTTACATTTATCATTTTAAAAAACTTCAGTCTATTTAATTATGTAAAAATAAGTATGCAAAAAACAGAAAAATCAAAATGTTTTGAAACATTTCAAAGTGGTAAATCAATTGGAACTTCAAATGATTCAGTCATTGTAATATTATGCTATGGCAGCCAAGTAATCCTTGATTTCAGTGGGGTGAGCCTCCTAAAGCCTAACTCATTGCAGGTGCCAACTTCTATGTTGTCTTCTGTCATGTGCCCTTCAGAACTTTCCTTTAGTGTTAAGAGGGCGATGAATGGCATCCTCCAACTCCAGGTCTTCATCGTATCTTTTCTCTTAAAATACTACTATGACAATAAATTGGGTTATACTTCTGAGTTCTTTTATTTGTGGTTATCCATCCAAGCAGCCCTTTATTTCCTTTTCTCTTATCAGGAACTCTCTGCCTTGAAGGCTTCTGTTTGTTTACCTTATACTTTTAGACCTTTCTCATTCCTGAGCAAAACATAATGGAATTTTCCCTCCTTCTTCAATGTTACCTGTGATGCAGGAGAGCAAAATCACATATTGAGTGACAGCGTCTTTCAGCTTGTTTGAGATACATTTAAATTATTGTATTAAATCTCATTTTATCTAATAGCCGCATTCCCCTTCTTTCCCTTAGCCCCAAGTCCTTGTGATAAAAGTACTGTAATCTAATTAAGCTCTTATCATAAAGTATGCTATGCACATTCTTCTCAAGTGGAATAATGATAGTTTTTATGAGGAAAATGGAAAAATAAAGTGCACAGTGTAAAGCTGCTGAAGCTTTCTGGTCAAACAGCTTTATTCAGTTTAATAACGGAAGTCACAACATTTCTTTGTTCTTTGTCTCATTTTTTCCATTGTAAAGGACATTCCTTTTTTAAAATATATAAAAATTTAACTCATAGAGTAGTGCTATATTTCTTTCAAATAACAAAATCTGATAAATGTTGGTGTTCTGTATTCTCTTGGTAAACTTCTAAATAGCTAATAAAACTCTGAATCAGCTTGAGAATGCCATTTATTCCCAGTATCATTGTTTGATAGGGAACAAAGAAGTAATGGTGCATTGCTCGTTATTGCCATCTCTCCACGCTCACATGCCAGTCCGCCCTTCCTCCCTCTCTTTTTCTTCCAAATCTGATGCGTCTGTGGCAGCTAGGAAGGGAATGAGTGCTGGTTGCCTCAGTGAGAAGCCTCTGATGGGCTCTGACGGACTTTTCAGAAGCTTCGGTAAAAGGAAATCAGCAATACTAGTGCCTGATCTGGAAATAAATTTGGCCAAACCTGGGCGAAACTTTTCAGGGCAGTCTTTTGGGGCCACTTAAGACCCCTAGCTTCTACAAGGTTATTGATGATTTGTTCTGGGCCTGTTCTCAGGAACAGCCTGCTAGCAGGATCACATTTGAATTCGTAAGGTACCTCCGGTTATTTGTGTTGCATTTTTACCTTGGCTTTTTTCTCCAAATTATGTTTTAGTTTTACCATTATCACCTACGCTCAATATCTTTGGTCTCTACTTGACAACATAGACAAAAACATCCTTTGGAAAGTAGGTGCACACTTGAAATCTGCGTGACTAGTTTACCTTAGACCCACAAAGACTAAGATTTTGCCACTTGATATATTGAAGACAAATTTGTGGCATTTCCAACTGTATCCATTTGCATTTTCCTCGGAGGCAAAATAGCTTGGAGAAAATTTCATGCTAAAGCTCTCACATGAGAACTGAGTTATACTTCAGTAACAATGATATCTAAGGACATTTAGCAAAAGTGGAAACATTAAGGCAACATTAAAGCTAGACTGAAAAAGAAAATTCCCATGTTAGCCCCCAGTATACCCACTGTTAAATAATCTTCAATGTTTTAACCATAGTTAGCCTCTTTTTAATAGCAGCATGTGCATTTAGGAAAATAATTCCCTAAGTCAAAAAATGTCATAACACATTCTCATAAGAGCTATGGCAAAACATACTTTATATACTGAAAATTTGTCAGCAAAAAAAAAAAATCATGAAAGGGTGGCAGTAGATAGAACAACTCTGACATAACTGAAGGTTTCTGACCAGAATGTCAGCTTCAACCTGGTGGCTTTGTGGTGCTGTGTTTTCAGTGTTGATTTCACTTGTGACATTTAGAGTTCTGGTCTCACATTTGTAGCATGTAGAGTTCTAGTTTCATGTAAGTTGTAGTTTTCCTTCAGGAAAATTTGAGCCTTTTCACCAAAGGAAAGCTCAGAGCACTGAGATGCTGCCAAAGTAAATCAAGTAGTCTCTTCACCAAGATTTTCTTCATGATATACACAATTTTGAGTTCAAAGATGATTACATTTGTATGTTCTGACAGATGGTAAAGCAAAAGAGTAATTTAAAATGCCAGTTGTTTTATTTTACATTTGTTCAGTGAAGTATGTGAAATAACTCTCCTTTTTTACCACTATCTTACCAAGAATGCACATAAATTTTCACCGAGTGAAAGCCTGCTCTTTTGTTTAATGGGCGGTGTATTGGAATAGTCTTAGCTTACGTGTGATTTAAGACCCTTGTCATTTTTTCACTTAGAGAAACAAGTCTCTCTTTGTAGTTTGTCTCCAGCTTTACTTCTTTCTTCTACTCCCAGAACCCCAAGGATTGCAGAAAAGCTAAGAAGCTGGTGTGTAATATCAACAAAGGCTGTGGATATGGCTGTCAACTCCACCATGTTGTCTACTGCTTCATGATTGCATATGGCACTCAGAGAACTCTCATTTTGGAATCCCATAACTGGCGCTATGCTACTGGTGGATGGGAGACTGTATTTAGACCTGTAAGTGAGACGTGCACTGATAGAACAGGTACTGCGACCGGACACTGGACAGGTAAGAATTCAATAGGTATTTATTTTCTTAGGTTGGTAATTTGTACAGCGCTTAGGATCTCAGGATTGAATCATTAAATGACCAAGCGTTCTGACTTTTGTTTAGGGGTTTTAAAAATATTGCAGTTCTTTTTCTTCTGTGCACCAAAGTGACAAACATTTCTCATGCAAACCAAACTTGAAGAGTATTGAATTTTATAGTTTCATACCCACATTTTTATGTGGAATCAAAGAATCCACTAATAGCCTTCCTAGAAGTAATAGATGAATTCAGTGCTAGTTAGGTTGTACGTTGGATAGAATGTTGAACTTGGAGTCAGTTAGGAAGACCTGAGTTCAAATCCAGCTTTAGACACTTACTAGCTGTGTGACCCTAATCAAGTCACTTAACCTCATGCTGCTCTAGTTTCCTTTTCTATAGAATGAGGATAATGATCGTACCTATCTGCCAGAGTTGTTTTAAGGATAAAATGAGATATTTATGAAATATTTGGCAAACTTTAAAGCACTATATAAATACTAGCTATTATTATTAACTTTGTCTATCTATAATTTTTATATATAATTATATTTTATTTATATATTTATATTATTATAACATAATATATATTATTATATATAATTATATGTTTATATAATTTATATTGAATTTTTTAATCTTGGGGTTTAAGAGCAATGGCATCATCAAAAAAACCCCCACCAAATAAGACCCACTAAACTAATTTGATACCCTTTTCCTCCAAGATAAAGCATTGTATTTGGAGTTAGGAAAAATCTTATTGATTGGTATCTTACTAATATTGACCACATCCCTGAAATGATATCTCTTTAAAAGAAGAAAAGAAACTCAATATAAGTTGAAGAATAGTATCAAGTATGGTGTGTATGTCTGTGTGTGTGTAGACCTCACTTAGGTTTTATGCAGGTCATATTTGGGGAAAATATGAAGCTATATTCAAACCAGTACAGTTAATATGATATAATCGACATTAAGTAGATAGCCTTAAATTGGCCCCTTTGCTTCTATGGTTCCATTTGAAAAATTGAAATAATTCTGTCTTGTCACAGAGCTTTCATAAAGCTTAATTATGTAAGGTATGTAAAGTGCCTTGAGCTTCTCTGAGAAAGGTGCTAGACTCTAGGAGGGGTGGGGAACCTCCTTCCTCGAGGCCACAGGCTCCCCACCCCTGTTTAGAGCAATACAAAGCATTTTCTTAAAAGGTAGTTTTTAATCAGTGCTTAGGAAGATTTAGAATCTGTTCAGCAATTGGTTCTTTCCTTAAAGTTCTTCTCATATTTTAAAACAAGCCTCTTCCCTAAAAATCAGAACTCATCTTTAATTCCAGTGGTACATCCCATATAGATCAGGCCTGCTGCTGTCATCAACTGGTGCTATCAGACTGAGTATCAAGGTTTTGAAGATGCTAAATCTGCCAGCCAAGAGAAGCAGCTCTTCTTGGCTCCCTGTGGCTAACTTTTTCCATTTTGTAGACTATGTCCAATTTCAGGCTTCTGTGAATGTGAAACTATGTAGTCAGGTTGGCACAGATACTGCTATGTTTCACTGCTTTTACTAAAATCTGAGTTTTTAGATGGTAACCAGTTAGAAAAAATGAAGCATAATGGATAGATTAAAATCTATGCTCCAATTTGATCTCATTTGAGCCACTAATTTTAAGTATTCTCTTTGTTCTTATTCTGTGGTTGGGAGTGGTTATGGTAGCAGAAGGTTTAGAAGTTTAAGTTTGTCACAAGTTCATAGAGCTGAGATCATCTCAACCACCCCCTTCTCCCCTGCCATTTTGAAGATGAGAAAATAGAAGTCCCAGGGAGTAACATGGCTTCCCTGAGGTCACTTGGGATAGTTAGGGGCAGAACCACAACTCCTACATAAGTGCTCAAAACTCACAACTCTGGCTCCTGCCTCTTCCACTGCCTCATGCCGCCTCATGTGTGAACTCTTCTTTATAACAGGACAGTAAATAAAGCTGTTGAATTTCATAAGATATAAGAAGGTCTAGTGGGAGGGTCACTGAATTTGAGGTCAGAAGATAGGAGTTGAAGTTCCCGTCATGGTAGTTATGTCTCAATTGGAAACTCTCAGTGTTGGAAGGGGCCTCAGCAGGTCATCTAGTCCAGTTTATCCTCTGGCCAACTCACTTGCCTCCTTGTGCCTCAGTTTCTCCATCTTTAAGATGGAGATAATCTAATTAATTAGAGTAACTTAAAATGGAGATAGTGCATAATATTCAGATTGCCTACTTTGCAGTGTTGTTGGGGGAAAGCTCTTGCAAACTGCTATACAAATATGAGCTATTATTAGAACAGGAAAAGGAGTTAGCCTGTTTTGAAAACCAGAGTCATGTGTAATTGTTACTAAAATTTTCCATCCCTTTTCTCCTACTCTCTTTCTATTCCCTCCTAATAAGCCTATCTTATATTTAGTATTCACGTTTGAACATTTTATTTAAAATCTGCACGGAGCTGAACAGATATTTTAGTTAATCAGCCACAAAGGGAAAGTTGCCATTAGTGCATCTGCATCCATTCTCTCAGTCACTTACATTCATTTTCCAGGGTTATAAAGGACCCATTTCATCAGAAAGTTACAGCCAATGGTGCAGAAGTACAGTTTATAGTAAATCATGCTCTCCTTATCCCTGCAGGTACTCTTTGAAATCATGCATTTATTTTCATGCTTCTGAATCGAATTGTCCTTGTTAGATACCTTTAATTTATTCAGATTTTTTAAAAAAAGATTAAAGGGAACAGCATAACTGAACTAATACTAACTTATTGTCAGAATAGTTAAGGCATTTTTATTTGAATTAAAGTGATTTTTATTTTTTAAGCACTATAGCTGCTTTTTTGTTGTTGTTATCTGTGTATGTATATTTTTGTTATTTATATAAATGTATATTTTATATGGGCATATTTTATCTATATGCGTGTATTTTTATTAGTGTCTTTTCAGAATTAAGGAAAACAGAATGAATGCTAATAACCACTTTGACATTAATCCTTTAGTTAGGCATGAAGTAACCACATCAGTTATTGTTCTGACATGTGCAAAGATTCTTGGGATAATTCCCTTGGCATCACTGCCATGAATTATTATTGTTCCTACCCATTTGACATGATATGCCTGCAGGTGGAATTGAGTGCTTCCAGCTCCAGTCTGTCACTCGTACAGGTCTTGGGGTGCATAGCTGATCATTTCAGTAACTATATCATACCTTGTTGGAGGTTTAATTCTATTTTTCCTTCACTATTTTACATCCTTTCTGGAGCCATATTCTTAGAGTAAGCATTTTGGCTTAAATGAAGAAAAGTAGGAAAGATCACGCTTTCAATTAAAAACAACAAAAATCCTTTCAACACCTGAAAATGTCATGTCTGTTCCCAACAGGTGCATGTTCCAAAGAGGTTGACAAAACAATCTATTTACTTTGCTAAACAGAGCAAAGATGTTTCCCAAATTCAAGCTAACAGGTTATATTGGTCCTGATTCTTCTCCTACAAAGATTCTTTATGCTAATTTAGAATGTTAATTTGGCCTGGGCATTTAAGAGTTTAATAAATGCCGTTTTTGAACTGGATTTCTCTTTAATTAAATATACTGATTTTTTAAAAAGTTGTTTCTAAATGTAACTTCCAAAATAGCTTGATGGTGAGAGTGAGGACAAACCCCGCCAGTGAATGATTCAGTGATTAATGTACTCCAAGCTACATTATCTCCTAACTGAATCCCCACATCTATACTATTTTTCTCTTTAAAAATGGACAGTTCAGCCACCTTAGTATAGCTAAACCAGTCTGACATTTTGGTTTGTGTGTGTTTGTCTCTCCCCATGTGCTGCACGCCTCCCCCTGCCAGTCTTCTTTGATTGATATCCTATTTGGCTAGAAGCTAGAGCTGATTCACAACCTCCAGGGCTTCTCTTTTTAAATGGAATTGATGGTTACATTGATTGTAGTAGGAGAGGTTTGTTGTTGTTTTTCAATTGAGATGTGTTTAATATAAATACCGTGATTACATAGCCATCTGCTGTATTTCCATAATCAGACTGCATCCTTGGACTCTATAACCCTCCCATGACCTAAAGAGATGGAAACTACTGAATTTTCTGAATACAAAAGCATTCATAGACAAAACTATTTATTTACATCTTAAAATATTTTCTTTTTCACTAGAGTAGATGGATTTCCTCCTTCCTTTTCTTTTATTTCCCCTTCAGGAAAAAACAAATAGGAATTAATAAAAATGTTTCATTGAGTGACCTAATTTAAATTGGTCTTTAATATCAAAGATGCATTTCTGCCTGAGATGTTCCATTGAGAATTTAATATGGAAATACATGCTGTGTCTGTAAATGATACTACAAAAGGTTCCATCATCAGAGAAATCCTGTATCATTGAATCCTAAGTCCAATAGGGTGGGGAAGTGTGGGGAGGAGTTATGAAGTGTGAGAAGACTGGAAAGGTAGGAAGGAATCTGGCTGCCAAACATAAAGTGCTATATGTGTACCTACAGGTGAAAGGAAGCCACTGGAGTTCATTGAATAGGGAGGCAACGTGGTCAAACTCTGAAAGCTATTGCAGTAGTCCAGGCCCAATTTGATGAAAGCCTGTACCAACCTGGTAGTAGTGTCAGAGGAGAGAAGGGGGCATATAAAAGATATACTTTGAAGGTAGAAATGACAGGACTTGGCAACTGATTGGATATGGGGGTGGGAGAGGGAGAAGTTGAAAATGATATCCAGGTTGTGAGCCCAAGTGACTGGAAAGATGATGCTACTCTCCATAATAATAGGGAAGTTAAGAAAAGTGGAGGGATTTGGGAGGTGGGGTAGATAATGAGTTCAGTTTTGGACATACTGGGTTTAAGATATCTATGAGACATCCAGTTCAAGGTATTCAGTACATAATTGGAGATGTGAGACTAGAGGTCAGCAGAGACTGAAAACAAATCTTTGTGGAGATGATAGTTTAATCCATGG